TTAAAATTGAGGGGAAGATGGATGTAGCCAAATACAGGACCATTCTGGATGAAAACCTGTTGGAGTCTGCAAAAGACCTGAAACTGGGACGGAGATTTATCTTCCAACAAGACAATGATCCCAAACATACAGCAAAATCTACAAAGGAATGGTTCACAAATAAACGTATCCAGGTGTTTGAATGGCCAAGTCAAAGTCCAAACCTGAATCCAATCGAGAATCTGTGGAAAGAGCTGAAAACTGCTGTTCACAAACGCTCTCCATCCAACCTCACTGAGCTCGAGCTGTTTTGCAAGGAAGAATGGGCAAGAATTTCAGTCTCTCGATGTGCAAAACTGATAGAGACATACCCCAAGCGACTTGCAGCTGTAATCGCAGCAAAAGGTGGCTCTACAAAGTATTAACGCAAGGGGGCCGAATAATTTTGCACGCCCCACTTTTCATTTTTTTATTAGTTAAAAAAGTTTCAAAAATCCAATAGATTTCGTTCCACTTCACAATTGTGTCCCACTTGTTGGTGATTCTTCACATAAAATAAAAAATTTATATCTTTATGTTTGAAGCCTGAAATGTGGCAAAAGGTTGAAAAGTTCAAGGGGGCCGAATACTTTCGCAAGGCACTGTATTTAGCATAACATTTGTTAATATTGAAATTTTCTATGAAATATGTTGTGTACTTAGCTTGGTATAGCATAACCCATATGCATTTAATTAGTTAATGCTAAATGAATAACAGGAGAAATTTGCCATTTTTTTGTTTGTCCAGGTTTTCAGAAGCGATACATTTTGTGACCACTGTAAGGGGCATCAGAAATACATTAGTAGGGGAGAACACGTGTCAGAATACAATATGCCAAGTTCTTGGAAGGAGGCTCTAGAGTTCTACACCATATTATTCTGTGAAATAGTGACTCTCCCAGCTTTCATTAAATTTCTTTTTGTTTGCCTGCAACCACCTTAGGATGACTGTTTGTTTTGTGGGATTCCATCTAGATAATGTACTTTGCAAACCCATCTATTGCCCCATTAACACATATGCCATAAGGTTTCAGTTATAGCTTTCCATGTGCCAAAGATAATTAGGTCCAAATTTGTAATACACTCTATTGAATTGTATGTCACTGGTGTTGATCAACCCCATCACAGTCAATAACAAGCAGAAGTTGTATAAAGTTAAAGGTCATTTCATGAAGCAAGATTACTCAGTTAGCTGGATAACATTGATGAATATGTTGACAAAAGTCTGGATTTTCAAGATCAAATTCACATTAAGTAACCATAGCAACATATAATCTATTACTAATCTGCTCCAAGCAGGTTAGTTTAAACTGAGAGATCAGCCCTCCATCAACGCCGTAAAAAGAACATTACAGCGATCCTCCCTATTTTTTTTTTCCTTCCGGAAACAGTCTAGGAAGAGAGGCGGGAGACTCGCACCCACACGGAGAGTCTGAGAAAGCAAATAGCAGGCGTTGTTATTCATTAACTATTCAGAGTGGTATGTTACCAATGTTGGATTAAAGAAAGGGCAGCTACAGTAAAATAATGTATACAAATATTTAAGATAATAAAAATGTATTATACATCTTTTAAATTTCTAAAAGCAAACACACGTAAAAAGCTGAATTGCAATTTCTGGTTTAAGAGCCCTTAAATTTCCTTACTCTCTCTGAGCATCCTGGAGATTGATGGTCTGGTGATTTGTCAAATAATATTGTACATTACTCAAAGAACAGTTGCTTTAGGAACCTTTCCTGAGACATGGCTGTGCAAGCAAATGAGGTTGATATCCAATTTGTAAATTAAAGAGAAATCAAGTGATGGAAAACGTTTACTGTATGCAATTATAAAGCTTCCTCTTATCCCATCAAACCGTGATCAAAGTGTGTGCTTGGATACACACGCACACATGATGTTGACTGTTCTATTATTTTTGTTGCTGTTTTACAATTTACTTTTTATAATCAATTTAGCAAAGTAACTTCTTGAATTAGCAAATACAGAACCTGTAAACAATGTTAATTGCATAATAGTTAAAATAAGAAAATTGAAAGGTCTACATGACATTAGAAAATGTGTAATGATTTTTTTTTGTGTGCTTGTGATGGTATATACCGATTACCCTAGAATTTCAGGTTGGGCCATACAGTCCATCCTGACCGTATTAGATTGACTATTTGAAAGAGTTAATTCCATTAGAATGAACTATAGCTAACCCAGTTCAAGCTGGCGTCCTTCAGTCTTGAATGCTTCTTCTAATGAGAATTTACCCATGACTAAAATGTTATTCAATTAGTGTTTGTGTTTCAGATTTATTTTAAATTAAAGTTGGAATTGTAGCCTATTTTTTTAATTCAATGCTCATAAACTATTCAGTCTGCAAGTTTGTTCAATCCTTTTTTTAAATAGTTGGTTTGTCTCGGTAGTTTTGGAGAATATACCATTTACTAATGGTAATTTATTATGGTAACTTATTAATTTTAGTTGATGTGGTAAATTTGTAAATATTTATATAGACCCATTTTGTATTATTTTATCTAGTTTGTGTGTGAATGCAGTTCTGTAGATTAACGTTGATTAAGTAAACTATAATATTTAACTGTTTAGTAAGCTAACATTTGCAAGGAGTGGAAATTCTCGGGTATGGTAACGATAAAATATCACTTTTAAGTGCCACTTCTGAAATTTTGTACTGGTATTTTGATATACAGTTCTTTAATTATTTTAAGCGTTCCTTAAGTAAGCCTATCTGACAGTTTATCCTTTAAGACGACAATACAATTATCCTGGGCAAAGAGCTGTTCACAAAAGTTGAATAAAACCACTATTGGCCTACCCATGGCCCTGTCCCTCTTTATGTACCATTTCTTAGTCAAGATTTGACTAAAGACTGAACAATGTATTAATCTCAACCTTTTTTCAATTTGTCAGTAATCGGTCATAAATCCTTGTTTGAAATAGGTTAGTTGTTGTTTCTAGACTATTCATTATTTTTTAAAAAATTTCATAATAATTAAGAATAATTGCTTACACTTACATAGTGCCTTTCTGGACACTTATTGTCCCAATTCGTTGATGGGGATTATTAGGAGGTCATGATTGGTAAAGGCCAATGGGAAAATTGACCAGGACCTCGATTTTACGTCTCAACCGAAGGACGAATTTATCAACAGGTTTTTCTGATTTAATTTTCTATGCTGATCATTGCTTCTAGGAAGTCCTTATTAAAACTATGGCACAATTTAAACAGGTATGTAAAGAAGAATGGTTTTAAGTTATTGAAATTAAAATTATTCAAACAAATGCAGGAAATTATAAACAGTTAATGGAAATGTTTATTTGTGTTCAAAGAGATGCCATCTAATAATTCACATATTTCACAGAGGTAGCTGTCCCCACACTTAATTTTTGATCCATTTGAGCTATAATTATGGAATTAAATATCATTATAATTCCATATCTTTTATTCAGCTTGCAGCATGTTGAGCTGGGGGCAGGGAAATTTATTAGATTCATTAATGTTCATGGTTTTGTAATAAATACACATTTTAATATATTCATTGCATTATTTGTCTTGCACGTAACTTAAATTAACATTGACATAAAATTATATTAATGCATATGTAAACCTCACCTCACATTCACAACAGACTATAAAATATTATTTTTCTCATATATCTGGTGAACTGAATCTTGCTTATTTTACTTTTAGAGGTGTCTTTCTTATCCCCAAGGGGCAATTTGTTAAAGTACGACTTTGATGGCATTGAATTGAACTGAGGCCTCCCGCATGGCAGACAAGAATTTGAACACTGAACTACCAAAGCATCACACTGACTGTTTGCAGACTGCAGCTACAATGCAATTTACAGTACATGACCGTCATTCTTTAAAAGTCACGCATATCACTACTGGCCTCTTTTGTTTTGTTTTCTTTGTGTTTGTTTTTTAAATACAATATGTTTTTAAAGTCACTATGCATAATATATTTTTAATAGAAAATACATTTGTTTTCTAATTATTAGTAATTATGTATACTGTATGTAATTAAAATACTGTAATTATTTTACTATTATACAGTATTGTGACATAGTGTCTTATTTGGAGTTGTATATAATCATTGTATTTGAAAATGTGAAAATGTGAGTACAGTATACATACTGTATGGTATGATCAGTGCAGGAAAACACTAATGGTTTATAATGTGTTTTATTATTAAAGTAAGATTTCTGATAGCCACAGGTATCTGCAACGCTTTAAGGATTCACTACACCACCTGGCAATTTTACAGATTAGTGCAGTCCTACATCTGATTATTTGAAAAAAATTAAAACGGCAAGATGTGGTACTGTTTGTAATGCTGTAGCACTTGTTGCGGCATGCCACCTGTCACCTTGCAATTTTAAGTTGCTGCACCTGTAAGTGTTTGTTTATGATTGTGAAGATGTTAATGTTACAAATGGCATTTTATTATATGTATATATGTCATATATCATTATCCTTGGCAGTGGTTTAAGGAGTTAAGGACTGCTTAAATCTAACAACAAATCTGAACATAAAGGGTTGTTAAACAAAAAGCACTTTTACACTCCATATGTTTAGGAGAAAAAACAATCCTAATTGTGCCTCATCTAGAAAGTATGTATAATAGCTAAATAGTACAAATACCCACAGTTGTGATGGAAGGGATACATAATGTTTGCCCTTATTACATTTTTTATCCTATACTAAATAAATAAAGGCTTTGTACTTCAGCAACTGGATATGCTATTGTGCAATATACAAATCACATTTCAATTTCTAGTAGAATAATGAAAGTTACTCATGAGTGCTCTAGCTGTTGAAAGTTGCTCTAGAATGTAAGCTTATAACTTTACAATAGACGTGCAAAACATGATGGAGACAAAGTAATTGTCATTCTAGACAAACCAAAGACATTGACATTACTTCTGTCAGTACATAAAGTACATTTTTACTGACAACCTGTCTGCATTTTTCAGGCCAGGAACAGTGTTGTGCCATCTGCTGTTGTGAATATATCAAAGACGAAATAGCAACTGAGCTGCCATGTCATCATGTATTTCATAAAACCTGTGTGTCCCTCTGGCTACAAAAGGTATGTGAAAATTTCATGTAGAGTATATTACAGTGGCTCTTTTAAGTGTAAGAATGTTCTTATTGTATATGCTTAAAAGGGGGGAAAAATGTAATTGACTAAATATTTTCTTAAAATTAGTTTAGAAATTACTTTATCTATTGTGTAATTGAATTCCACAATAATGGCTATTTATACAGCCTAGATGCAGATTTTTTAATTGAGCTTATTGATTTTGCAATATATAGAAATGTGACACTGTATTAGAAAAAAAAAAAACGAACAAGGAAAAGAATAATAAAACCGCCTGAACCAAGAAAAGAAAAAGAATTCCCTTTTTTCTTTTAATTTAAAATGATTTAAATCAGAAATGGGGTACAGGGAATTTCCTTATATGTACTTAATATTACATTAGCCTACATTTCATATGTATTTTTGTGACAATTCTAAATTATGAGTACTATACCTCGTAATTTGTTTCTTCCAACACATTGTGTTATTAGGGTTATATCTAAGAAGTATTTTTTTTGTTGTTTTTACACAACTGTTTCATGATGCTTTCACATGCCTAAAGCATGGTCTGAAGCCTCTTTTCTGGAGCGTTAAATAGTTTAATTTAATAGAGTTCAGAATGATTTAATGGACCCATTTATGTGCTTAATTAGCATGAGTTACCATTATAGGTCTTCATTATTGGACTGTTTAAAGGTACCTATAAAACCTTTGGCTGGGTCCTCCAGAACTGGGGTTGCAGACCACAGGCCAAAGATCTTTGGTAGCCAACTGACTTTGATGTGATTTACTGTCGTTATCAGTCAGGGACATGTCCGGTGTGTCGCCACGTTCTGTCTCCTGCACTCCCAGAAGCAGCCGTTGCCACTTCCTTTGTGTCGGATCATGACACTCCCCCGTCCACCCACAGTGCAGCAGGAATGCGATGAGGACCAAACATGCAAGGATAAACAGGGACCCGCAAGATTTTTTTTAAATTCAATTTTCCAGTGTAAACAAATACCGAAAAGCAGTACTCCAGCATAGCATAGTTTAATCTCCTGTGCACATGATGTCTTAATTCTTAGTGTAGTAATACAAGTGTTAGATTGAAAGTTAAAAAACTCTACGAATGACTGTACTGTTTTCTGGGAAAATATCGTCAACACAAGCTTTTGTTATTTTTCTGTTTTGAAAAAAGTCAACCGAGAGGATGCATCAAGCTTTTATGAACATTCACAAAATGTGGAAAAAAATGACAAATTTGCTTTAATTAATACTTAAAATGCATATCTGAGCGGTGAATGTTAGCAAGTTATCGGTTTAAATTATACATGCATAAATGTAGCAAAATTGTGACCTATATGGTCCACATGGAAATATTGTTTGTTTCAACTGCTCGCTTTGCTTCTCTTCAGCTATTGAAATTGAATTCACAGATAACTGCAGTGCATATTGTGTATATTCCCAATTTACTCATTTGCAAGGTATTTTGGTCCCAGTGTTCAATAAAGGCTGTAGCTCTTTCTCCAAGATGTTGTTTCTGGCATTGGCAATTCATTTGTCAGTTATATAAAAGCAAAGATTGTGATTTAAATTACTTTAACACATTTGGGAGTACCCTGGAAAATATTTAAGAACATTTGTGCTTTCAGAAGAAGCTATGAGACTTTGGATCAGCTTCGGGTAAAGTTATTTTTCTGCATCACAATGGGACTTTAGTAAAACAACCCCTAGGCCAAATATTGAATAATTATGGCTTTCTGAAATGTCAGCTTACCCCTAGTGTGTTCTTTGATCACAGTGGGGTTTGATGTAGGGATAGAAATGTATTGCAGTCTGAAGAACCTTAATTATAGAACAGAAACATTAAAACATACATCTATTTGCAATCTGTAAAAAATGAGACACTTGTATAATCTCACATAAAATATTTTTTACCACAAATACTTTTTCAGTTTGCCAGTGAGCAACAGTTTGTTGAAGAAGCTTTAGATCTTTAAATAAGTAGGTAGCAGTTTACATCATAGGCATATATTTTATGCCAAGACAAATTAAGATAACATTTCCAAATCCAAAATCCATTTATTCCTATATTTTTATTTTGACCTTTATTAATTTTTCTATTAATATCATCATGTCTTGATCCTTTAGTACTTTTCTGAATTCGGCTTTTGTGCTTATTTTCCATTATTTTATCTGTGCTTTATTATTTGCATTTATTTAATCTTGCATATTTCTCACTTTTTACTTGACACTTTACAATACACTTTGTATTTTGACAGCCGAAGGTGTGGCAATCAAAGCAACTCTTTTTCAGTCCATTGTCTTGTCTAGTGCTCTAGAAATTGGTACTCGACTGCTTTTGATAAATGTGGCAAAATTTCTCCACTCCAGTACAACCTATCTTTATAGTAAAACAGCCCTTCAATTTCAGGTAGTATTGAAATAAACATTTGCTTTGAACATCTAAGAGGTTCAGTCTAAATAATCAATGAAGAGCTCTGAAACAAGTAGCTTTCTTAAGTCTTGTATTCTACACAACTCTTCCTTTATGAACTCCCTACACGACTGTGTATTCTTTAATACAATGATAGTATGTTATTGCCATTAAAAGCTGTCAACTTCAGAACAGCTGTCCTTAAGATGAGATGGAAAAACTACTTTGTAATTAAAGATCCAATGGTGCTGTTCATAATAGAATGGGATCTAATAATGATAATTGTAAATGATAATGATAATACCTTGCATTTATGTAGTGCTTTACAGATTGAAGGAGTCCCATTTCATCAACCACTAATGTGCAACATCTATTAGGAATGAATAGACTCACTACATAGCAATTCACATAGAGATGTGAAAGACATTGCT